AGAAGGATACCAAAGCTGCCTTTGTGTACTAACCTAGCGGGTCTTTTTCTAATTATCATCTTTATTTATATTCACGCTACCTTTTTTTTTGTGTGTTGGTTATTTTAATCAAGTTTAGCCTGGGTCATTTTTTCCCTCTGGGGTTTGTTCGGGGCGATGATGTGCCGGGGCCGGCCTCACCTGCCGCGGGTTTGGACGGCGCGGCGCCACAAAGGCGACTTGGCCGCCCCCCCCGCGTCCCTTTCGGCCCCTTCGAAGGCCCTCGACGGGGCTTCTTTGCCTTTTCGCGCGCCCGCCGAGGCGGGGCGGGGGCAGGACGCCGCGGGGGCCTTTTTTCTGGCGGAGGGCGAGGGCCAAGAGGGGCATCGCCGCCGGATGCGGTACGGCAAACACGGCTACGATTTTTTCACCCACCTCCAACTCCACGGCGCGCGCCTGACGGAAGGCTTCACGCGGCTCCGCGTGGGGCTTTACACGCTCGGCACCGCCGCAGGGGTGTTTTACGCGCTGCTTTGGCTGACGTCCTACCGCTTTCGCCTGACGACCGATCCTTCGCCCTACTCGAACTACGTCTTCGCGGGCTTCCCGAGCGATTATGTGGAGGTGGAGAACATCTGGACCGGGCGTCGGCGGGTTATCACCTTCGATGCGGAAGACGCCGCGGGGGGAAACGACGCGGCTTCGCATCCCGGCGAACCCAATCCCGGGCCGACCGCGAAACCTCCGCCGCGCATTCGCGAGAAGACAATCACGATCAACCGATTTAAGGATCGCCTGCATGTTTATCAGCAAAAGGCGCGCGCGGTGGTGGTGGTCGACGCCGCGGCGGAGCTCACGGCGGATCGGTTTGTGCGCGCGAGGGAGGGCGCCGCGATCCACCGACGGGATCAACTTTTTTTCCCCGATTTTCCCCCGCCGAGTTCGCGCGAAAACGATTGGGAATCGGGCGAAGCGCGGGGGGAGGGGGCGTCTTCGTCGCCCGCGCCCTCGCGGGTGTACGTCGAGGCGTGGATTCGCCCGCGGGAGGCCGAGAATCGGCTCCAGCGCGGCGCACTGCCCGTTTTCGAGGAGACGACGCGGCGGGTGATCCAGGAGAAGCTCCAAACCCGCTATTTTGACCTCCTCCTCGCGAAAAATGCGGAAAAAATGGAGAAAATCTACGCCGAGGCGCTTCTTCGCAGCGGCGTCGTCCGCGGCGGCGGCGTCGGCCTCCTCGACGTCGTCCCCGACCGGCGCCCGTTCGCGGAGGAGGTCCTCGCGGAGGTCAAGCGGCGATTGGGGGATCGCGTGATTCTGTGCGAATATCATCTGCGATTTTTCTAGGAAAATATTTCCCGCGATACGCACGCGAAATATCCCCTTCCCCCCCCTCCCCCCCCAAAAAAAGAAAAATATCAGAAAAAGAAGAGGGCGATGAGCGGTAATCATGGTCATAAGTGCGAGAGAGGGGGAAAGGATAATCAATCAGGAAGGGTTCCTCCCTAATAGTGATTATTCCTCCGTACACCAGTAGATTCTTGTTTGTTTTCTCGCATATAGGACTTCCACCACGATCCATTTTTGTTGGATATTTTCTCCATTGCAAAATCTCATGTCTGACCGATATCACCCCATAAAATGGTCGCTCGCACTTCTGAAGCCGGTATGCAATTTAACTTACTTTTTTTACAATTCTTTACCGACTTTTTCTATTATTTTCATACGTTAGGAGTTGCATTTTAAAAAATATAGTCCGTGGGTTTTTTATCGTTGTTCTTTTCCTCACCGAGGAGGGTTTTCCGATTTTTATGCAATTCACGAGGTGGTGGGCCGGGTCGAAAAAAAATTTACGCCTGCGGTGCGCGCAATGTTTGGCCCTTTTGCCGGCCTCTCATTTCCCCCATCGTCCCGGCCCACATCGAACTTTGACGTGTTTGCAGTGCAAGCGGCTCTGCGTGATGTGCGGGATTCGCAAGACGTTGGATAATTTCCCCAACGAACACGCCGACGACTGCCATCGCTGTCTGGCGAAGCAGCACCTCGCGTCGACGAATGTTTATTTCCGATATCCCATTTTGAAATACAAGGCCTGTCCTTTCAGCGTGGATGAAATGCGGGACGGGTTAAGGAGGGATGGCGACCCACGCGAAAAACGATGAGAAACTGGGCTGGGGACGCCCTCAACTACCCTCAATATACATACATACATATATATATATATATATATATGTATGATGGTAAACCGACAAAAAACATTTTATACGATACGAAAACGATCTTTAAGGAAGAAAAGGCGAATTCTAAGCCGTTCTTTTATATTTTTTTTCTCATTTCTTTCCGCTTTCCCCCCTCCCCCCCCCAACTTTATTAGTCTTAGTATTATTTGTTCTAACTCAACTCAACGATCGTCCAGCGCGTGTAGTGCGGGATGTACACCCGGGCCCAGCTGGAGTTCGCGCGGCCCCGGCCGACCAAAATATTTTTTCTCCTGCCGAATTTAATCGGCTACGCGCGCGTGGCCTTGACGATGTTGGCCTTTTATTTTGCCCACCATCGGCCGTTATTTTGTCTTTTGTTGTACACTCTCGGGTTTGTTTTGGACGCCGTGGACGGCCTTGCCGCGCGGGCGCTCAACCAATGCTCGCGCTTTGGCGCCATTCTCGACATGGCGACCGATCGCGCCGCGACGGCGGGGATGATTGTCGTCCTGGCGAGCGTTTGGCAGCCGAAATTCCATTTTTTTACCTTTTTTTTGGCTTCATTGGCCTTTCTCGACGTCGCCTCGCACTTTTGCCGGATGTACGTCTCGCTGCTCATGCAAAAGGAAAGCCACAAGGACGTCTCCGACAGCCCGTTTTACCTCCTACGAAAGTACTATGCGGATCGGCGGTGTATGGGGGCGCTGTGTGTGGGCCAGGAGTTCACGTATATTTTGCTTTACGCCTACATTTTTGCCACCCGCAGTCCTTTTCTTCGGACGGTTTTGCAGGGGTTGCTCCTGCCATGCGCCATACTCTGCCTGGTGAAGCAAATCGTGAATGTTCAGCAGCTGATGGACTCCCTTTATAAGATCGCCTGTCGAGACGCGATCGAGCGCGCGCGAAAATAAACGTTTCTTCCCCTCCTCCACACACACAAAAAAAAAAGAAGATTCGATGGAATATCCCTCAGGGGCCATTCTGTGGGGATAAAATGGAAACACTGTGATAGATAGATGTATATACATATATATATATATTCTCACCTTAACACGAGACCAGGTTACTTCTGATGGTTAAGCGGGAGTAATTTTTTATGTTGGTCATATGGGGGAAGCGATACGGCCTTCTGGAAAGGAACGATCGCCTGGAAATCCGATGGTGGGAATTTCGACTTCTTTTGTAGGTCTTTCTTGATGTGAGAGTCCATTTTGACCCGGACTGATATTTTTACTATCAAGTGATATGTGTTTGTTTAGTTTTAGTATTTCTGAGGAGGAAGAAATAAAGAATGACGTATGCACCCATAAGAAGAAAAATAAAACTAGTGCGATTTCTATTAACATTTTTTTTGATTCCATGGCTGTGGTAATGTGAAAACGAGTTATTTCCCTTTTTAATTGTTTTCTCTTCCCCCTCCTTCCTCACCCTTTAAAGTAGAGTGTCTAAATATATTAGAAGTGTTGAGAGAAAGATATTCCAATACTTATAACCTTATAGGGCTCAACGACACGCATTTTTTCATACAGTTTTTACTCTCATTCACCTTCGTTCTCACACGCGGTATAGGGGGTTTGGCTTCACGGATAACATTCGAGGAACCCCTTTTTTAATATTTTTCTAATTTATTCTCCCCCTCCCCCTACAAAAAATAATAATACAATCTTTCTCAATATATATAGCATTATTTATATAGAGTATATATCTATATAGTATCAGTTACAAGTATCTGTATAGTACACATTCTATAGATATACTACTGCATATAAGATATAAGGCTATATTATATCCTGTTACATCCACCTAACGTAGTGCATCCATCGGTGTTATCGTAACTGCTATGGCCGGTGTAAACTGTCATGTGGACCCCTCGCAGGGGCTTCTGCGCGGCGACGCGACAAACGCGGCCCTCGCGGCGGCCCTGAAGGCGGCCTGCGACGACAACGCGGCACTGGCGGCGATGGCAACAGCGATGGCGGAGCGGCTCGCGGCGGCGGAGAGCCCCGGCGACGGGGTGGTCGGCCGCGCGGCGGGGCCAGAGGCCCTCCGGCGGGAGTTGCTGGCCTACAAGGCGACC